TGGCATGAGCGCTGAGGGGCTGCTTTACTTTGATGGATATTTCTATGGAAAACAGACAGGACGCACATACGACAAGTTTTAAACATGTGATGGGATAAAGCAAATCTGTGTTCCATTATGTTTTCAAGGTTTTGTGGCAATCCGTGATCAAAAAATTAAAAGAAAAAGGTATTTGTCATTGCCTTATCGGTCGAGCATGCTCAAAAAAAAAACTTAAAGCTTGAGTACCCAACTCTCAGATCAAATGTAATGAAATCTAATAGTTTTCATGTATATTTAACTAGTTTTTTCAGACTGACAAGTGAAAAATATAGGACTATGCTCACTCAAGATTATCAGCTCAAACCAGGGAGTTGTCAGATTTATTCACAAAATTCTACTTTTACAAGACATTTTCTGTTGGGAACAAAAAGTCAGACACCTTACCTTCAGCAGACCCAACACAAGATGGCTAAATAGGTCATAATAGTATATATCCTTGGCTACATTTTACATTCAGAAAACACACGGAAAACTGTGTGTGGGTAAAATACATGCTGTTAATATAAATTCTTGCAAAAACAAAAATTGTGAAGAGGTTCTGACGCAAATGTCTATATGTGATTGTGACACCCATAAACGCAGCAATTTTGGGTGTCAGATAGGAAAAGGACTTGTTAAAAATCCCAAATTTCATACAATCCACTAATGAGCGTTCTGCCTCCAGCTGGAGTTGTGAAGTCCCATTTTTCATTTGCGTCGTCTTATTTTTGACAAAAGCTTAAAAAAACTGATCATCTGTCAGATACTGTGAGATAGACGTTTCATAAGATTTGGATGGATAGCTTTAATACAGATTTGTAGTCCAGAACAACAAATAGACAAGACACGACACACTAAACAGACAACATAAAAGTCCCCAAATTTCTTTAGACGAGGCAACTATTCCAGTGTCTCCACAGTGCAGAGGTAAAACCAACATCACTGTACGCTCTGCTCGTCAACAATAAAATCATCACGTTCGCACTAGTGTTCAGACACATAAACTTATACATTAGGTTCCTTAAGTTGGCCTGAGGTTGTTCACTTAAAGGACACAGATAGTTCCAGAGGCGCTGCTCCATCTGGGCCTTTTTAGCAACAGTCTGAAGGCATCGTTGTAGGCCACTTTCAGTCTCTGTAGGCTGGATTTTTTATAGTTTACCCACAGATGAGCGTTGTAAAGCGTTATATGCCCGAAACAAAGCCACTCTTACTCCATTAGAACAGGATTAAAATAGACCACGACAGAACATTAGCCTGGGCGAACAGCATGCTATTGATACATATCCTCTTCGTCTGACAGACAATCAGGATATGACCAAGATATTCCATAGTGTTTTCAGTTTTTAGGATATTTCCAGAGAGCTTAAAGTCAGGAAACACCAGGGCTTTGTTCTGGAACTCGTAGCTGCTCAAAAACTGTTCTGCATCTACATTTCAGGACAATCAGGATTAAAGCAACAATAGAACAAGCTAAATGAGATCATAACAACACATTGGAGTGCTGTATGTATGTAGTACCCGTGCTGCCAATTGTTGCATGGGGTTGCACTCAAAAGACCGACACATGGAAGTGAAAACCCTGGCTGGGATAAAAACAGCGAAGGACGAGGGGATATTTGTGTGTGCGGCGGAGAGAGCAGGTGTAGTCCCAGAGGAGGGAGCAGTGACACCTTCAGAATCTTTTACTGTTCTATGGGTTTGGGTTAAAGTGGAGCACTCTGTGTGTGAGACAGGCTCAGCACTAGACTTAAAAGACACACATTCGGCAAAATCATCCTTTTTGAGTTTCTAACTGGGTTACATCACTGTTCCCTCATCAAAACCAGTTTGAATTCTTGTCAAGCTTCATCTATGTTAATATCAGCACAAGTGTAGTCCCACCACTCTTTCTTTCCAAATGTTTTCAAAATCTGCATACTACAAAAACTCAATGCTTTTTTTAGCAAAAAAAATTACAGTATTGCCTCTAAATTTCTAAATTAGTTTTGTGTATGTGTCCAAACGTGGTGTCAGTATGAAGAGGGAGGAGGGCTGCATTGTGTCATTACATTAGTTTAAATTAAGTTTAAGGCTACAATGACACCTTTAACTTTACGGGCAGCACCGTGGCATAGTTTTTAGCATTCTCGCTTCCCAGCAAGAACGTCCTGGGTTTGAATCCCGGACGGAACAGGGTTTTTCTGGATGGAGTTTGCTTCTTCTCCCTGTGCTTGTGTAAGTTTCCTCCAGGTGCTTAGTGATAGTGGGGTTTCTCCTACCACTAACAACATGCACAGGTAAAACTGGTCCTGACCAAGCCGAGCATCAACATCTGGAGATGGGTCCAGGGCGCTTATACGACGACCACTGCTCCTGACAGAGGACAATTGGCCCTACAGGGATGAATAAAGTGTACCTTAACTTTAACTTTATCATTATTAAATATAAACATAACCAGACTCTTTTCCAAATGTGTTGGGTTTAGAGTTGCAAAGGGGTTGAACATTCCTGTTGGAAGTTAAGTTGGGTGAATTTTGGAAATGTAAAATGTTTGAAAAAAAAATGTAATAGGCCATCTCCCTCCAAAACTTCCCGTAATAAACAGATCAGCTTGCTCTCTACAAGATGAATATGTTTGTATGCGAGACTTACAATTTAAACATTGAATCAAAATATTTACCCATAATATCATGAATATGTGTCTTGTGCTTTGGGCTCAAAAATGTCCTATATCTTCTGTACATGTGGTGGAGACATACACAGTGCCAGTAGGGGGCAATATACAGGCAGTAGGCAGCAGTGTGAGTGGCATCTGTTTGTTTTAGTCAAGATTAAGCAAAAATATACTTTCCACCACTATATTTAGGTTCCCAATTAAGCCCTAATCAGAGTTTTTTCCAATAAATTCCTGTTAATTCCCACTGATTCTCATGTAAAGTTTCTATTTTTGAAAACTAGTAGCTTTGGTGCTGCTCCGTCCTGACTGTTGTTATGTGGAGGTAGAGAACAAACGGACGATGGTGATGTAACGGAGCAGCCCCAGTCTGAAACCAGGCCCTGGACCTCAGCCACCGCCTTCTGTCACTCTGACCTACAGCGCCACCTTCAACCGCACAAAGTCACTGCACTCACCAGAGACACAACTTTAGACACAAGAGAAAAAACACATCTTCAGCCAATTCACTCATTCTCTACAGGACATACATGTACACTGGTCTGTCATTGGATTATTGAATATACTCAATGTAGTAACAAATATCAGGGATAAGAATAGTTTCAATACTTATTTTTTTAAGCTGCACGCTGCAAAAGTTGTTAAAATATAACATAGTAAAGTAAATGCTTATGTCAAGTAGTTTTTTAATGTAAGTACTTTGTGACTTACATTTGTGACAATATTTACCAACAGGACAAGCAATCATCATTTCTGCAATAATTTCACATTTTTTGTTAACGAGACCATTTTTAAAAAAACAAAAAAAAAACAATGTTATGGCTCACACAAACACACTACCTGAAGTCTCGTCAATTCAACATTGATTTTAGCTTCTTATTGAACATAATACTAGAGCAACCTCCATCTCTCTCCTTCAGCAGACTGGGCAAAAGCAAAGAAGCTTCTTAAATCCAAGCAGATCCTCCCTGAGCCAACGCTTTCTGGTTTTCCTGTTTGAGCAGCAGGGGGCAAGTGGGGTTAAATCTGTTCCTAAATAAATTATGGACTTTTGGATGGTTACAGAGTCTTCAGGGCCGCTCTCCACCTGCTGCTCTAAACCTGTATTTTTCATGAGGGCTTCACCACAGTTCAAGAGAGCAGCTTCTACACAGAACCACACAGGAAGCCACGACTCATGCCCGCACTTTAGAGATTGAGAATAATAATAATAACAATAATAATAATAATGCATTGGTTTTATACAGCGCTTTTTTGGACACTTAAAGACGCCTCACATGTCATTATTCATTCACTCCAAACACGGTGGAGATGAACTACTATGGTAACCACAGCTGCCCTGGGGCACACTGACAGAAGAGAGGCAACCAGTATGTGCCATCGGCCCCTCCGACCACCACCAACCATTCACACACACACCAGACTCATTCTAGGCAATGGGGGTGAAGTGTCTTGCCTAAGGACACAATAGCAATTTGGCACTTCACAGCCGCAGCCGCCCCAGGTGTTCCCAGAGGTTAAGTGTCTTGCCCAAGGACACAACAACAGCAGACATCAGTGGGAACAGGTGGAGAAAGTCTTGTGGTGGGCTCGAACCCACAACCTTCAGGGTCAAAGGCCAATGCTCTACCAACTGAAGCACTGTCACCCCTAAACAATGTCACCCTATAAAAACAATGTATTTCTGGATATGAATCAGTTTTATATACTCTCTCACAGATTCATGTTAGGAAATGTGGGTAAAGTGTCTTGTCAAAGAACACAACGGCAGCCACAGCCTCCCCACTGTGACACCTGGTGTTGCCTGCGGCTTCCCATCCCAGCACTATCCTCAGCTTCTGACATGTGACGGGATCAGCCTTTCACATGCAGCTGTGCCTAATATGTCTTGATAACCTGTGTTCTGTCACCGCGGCTTCACGTCGTCTTCAGAAGATTCAAGGTAAAAACCGTCTTCACAGAAACAAACACCTCAGAGTTCAGTCACAAACACATATTTTCCCTCATTGCCTCGAGATAATTGGGCAAAGACACAATAAGTCTAAAGATTGATTGATGTGATTACACAACATGCCTCATCATGACAGCCACAGGACACAAATCATTTATTTTTTCTCTACAATAGTTCTCTACGGTTCCTGTTTGAGTTCATCAGGAGCAAACCCTGAGCAGAAAGGATTGTTCTAATGCAGTGTGGGCCTACTGAGTAACCACAACATTATAAAGTAAGTCAAGTTGATACTAATAATTACTATGTAAGTGATAGAATATGAAAACATACATAGTTTTGTTTCAGTCGTGTAAGAATGTGGACCAAACTCACCAGTGCAGTGATTCTGGTCTTGGCGTTGAGCACGTGCTTCAGCGACAGTTTGATGATGGAGGGCAGCCGCAGCACCACCGCCTCCATGTCCTGCTCCCCCCTCATGCCCAAGGCCAGCTTCCCCAGCCCCTCCACATACGTCCTCCAATGTGGCTGCACCTCCACAGCGCCCCCTAGGCAGCCCTGCATCACGGCCTGGCACAGTCCTTTACAGGCCACAGGCTCCAGCTGCCCGTGGCAGTGTGGGCAGAACCACAGCCGCAGTAAGGAGCGGCTACAGTCCCTCCCCGGCCGCAGGTGGTCCGTCGTGTTCACCACTTCGATGCCAAGGTTCAGCGCTTGGAGAAACACTCGTGTGGCCAGGAGCGAGCGCGACAGACGGGTCATTAGGAGTTTGGGATACGGTCCAAATGCGCCGGAGTCTTTCCAGGCCCCTTTCAGACAGTCCTCGGACACAGAGGAGGGGGCCGCTCCTCCCAACAGTCTGCGGTAGGCCAATGGGAAGAGGCGACTGTACAGGACGCCCACCATGTGGTTGACGGAGGAGTCGGAGCCCAGGATGTAGAGGGACATGTCCATGTAGAGCTGTCCCACCAGGCTGTGCACGCTGCTGCCCAGAGCCGGGAACTCGGACCTCAGCAGAGACACGGTGGAGTTACGGCCGTGACGCAGAACCAGGTCGAAGGCCTCTGTGGAGACAGGACACAAGCACAGACGTGAACTACACAACCGGCAACATGGAGCTTAGTGCTTAGACATGTGACCGATACATGTACGAGAGGAGTGTGGTCACATAAAAACACAGATCATTCTGATGAACGACAAAGACACCAAGGAAACAACATGAAGATCCATCAACGTTAAATGATGAGGACAGAGAGGAGAGAGGAGGTGAGCGAGGAGAGAGGAGGACAGAGATGAGAGACTAGGACAGAGAGGAGAGAGGAGGACAGAGGAGAGACGAGGACAGAGAGGAGAGAGGAGGACAGAGAGGAGCGAGGAGGACAGAGAGGAGAGACTAGGATAGAGAGGAGAGAGGAGGACAGAGAGGAGAGACTAGGACAGAGAGGAGAGAGGAGGACAGAGAGGAGAGACTAGGACAGAGAGGAGAGAGGAGGACAGAGAGGAGAGACTAGGACAGAGAGGAGAGAGGAGGACAGAGAGGAGAGAGGAGGTGAGAGAGGAGAGAGGAGGTGAGAGAGGAGAGAGGAGGACAGAGAGGAGAGACGAGGAGAGAGGAGGACAGAGAGGAGATATGGTGTGAGAGGAGCAGAGAGGAGAGTTATTCTGTCACATCCGAGGAGAAATAACCCATTTGAATATTTAATGTTTTTGAATGGTTTCTTGTTCATCGTCGCTGATTTGGATGCATCACCTCCTGTAACTTTGACTCAAATCGCTTCTGGAGAACATTTTGTTTTAATATTTGCTCTGACATTAGGTGGATGCTTTAGGAGAAAGGCTTCTGTGTTGAGACCTTTAAAGTGAAAGATGGAGTCAAAACAGAACACAAATATGATCTTAAAACTGTCATAATCCTGATTCGTCATCTTGAATTGTATTGTGAATAATGGAGCTACCTATAATCTGATTAGTACAATAAAAATGGAAAACATATATAAAGTAACGGTAGTAAAGTACGATAGATCAATTCTCTAACCAGGACTGAAACTAGGTACTAATCGGAACAAAATGAAAAACTGGAAAAACACACAGAGACTGAAATGTTCTTAGTCGTTGTTATGGTCCAAAGTACTAAAAGTAAATTACTAATCACTCGCAATAATTATCACAACTTCCACAAATGTTTCCAACCGCTCAATTACGGAACGGGGCAAAAACAACAAAGTCTCAAACCAGCAGGAGGCTTGGAGAGAAAAGGACAGTCACTCATAACCCCCATCAGTCTGAACTACGACTCAGTGCGGAGGAGATGCGGCATAGAGGCCTGTGATAAACCAGAGTCCTCATGCTCAAAGTGTAATAACGAGCCATTGATCTGTTCTGTTTGCCCTCGGCTCCAACGTCGTGATTTCATTCAGGCTGCTCTGATTGTGAACGCAGGGTTGCAAGGCTTCAGCGGAGAAAAGAAGTGGCATTGCAGAGTTTGAATGGTCTTTGTGGGCTGTGATTATCAGATAGACATGAACGCGTAGTTTACGATTGCACCCAATGATCAAGGACGAAAGGAGCAAAAGTTTCCCGCTTGTTCAACGGTGATCTATCAACACAAGAACAAGTTATTTTATCCTTTTTTATTTTGTTTTGGCATTGACCTTTAACTTATGAAAATGAAGATAAATCATTTTTAATTCATTCCTATTTTAATTCATCTGTGAAATATGTTTAATTATTTAGCAGCTTTTTAGGCATTTGGATCAATTATGAGGATTAAAATGTTTGAAAGACACTCTATATATAAAAGACCTGTATAATAGTGTTCTAACAAGGTGCAGGTTTATTTGATGATTACATACAATCACGAGTTGATTAATAAGCAGAGTATTGCATCAGTTTTGCATTTAAAATAATTGCAGTTTTATAGCTGTTTTTTTATCATTTGGATCAAGTGTGAACTTCTGCTCTTGATCATATTTCTCTCATATTTCATCATGTATTTTTTCAGAACTGATTTGATAAAAGATAGAGAGGGGGCGGGACTTTGCTCAATCTCATCTTCCCGTTTGACTTTCCTCAGTTTTACTTTGGTTTTCATCAGTTGAGAAAGATGATTGCAAAAAGTACATTGACCGACATGGGATTGCTTTGTATTTGTAGTGAATCTGAAAACAGAATCTAAACTGAACTAAACAACATTCTCTGTGATTATTGAGGCTCGAGACACAAAAAGCCTAAATTCTAATCTCTAAGTGTGTGAAGGAGCCAAAGGTGAAGCTGCCACAGAGAGCAGTGGTGAGGGCAGAACCCCCTCAGTGCCCAATCCCTCCTGGAGCTCACTGTAAAATACACACTCCCACAGTCTCCCACAGTCTCCCACAGTCTCCCACAGTCTCCCACAGTCTCCCGCAGTCTCCTGTGCGCTCAGCGAGTGGCCGTGTGTATAATCAAAAACACAGATAGATAGAACACTGCACTTTATCCTCAGAAATGGGCGTTATACAACAGTCCATCACTCAGTTGTAAGCTAGCATTAAAGACAAGACACACCAAAATAGCCTCTGGAGCCCTGCGCTGAGTTTGTACAGGACCTGTTGATTCCATCATTCACTGAGATGCATCTTTATTGAACCAGCGTGAGCTTTTGGCCCATGCTGAGGATCAGAGCACCCAATAGAGCCATACGCACAATCTTGCAGCTGTCTCCACTGTCTCCATCAATGCGTCTCACACTCCGAGAGTTCTTCTGTGTGTGGCTGCTTCATTATTCGCTTGCAGCAATACTTTTGAGAACAAAAATCAACATAGGACAGGGGAGTACGCTGGGGCAGCTGTCAATTATCTGAAAGAAGCAGCGGAGAAGCAGCACAGCGAAGTCGAGGTCTGCCTCATTCACACCACACTCCCCCAGCACCAGCCTGAGCTCTCCTACAGCTCTTTCAAGGCCATCTAACAAATGACCACCTCAGCTCCCAGTAGTTTGAGGAAGTTTGAGGTGTATAGTGTACTCTGGGGTGTCCGGGAGGATAACCATGCAACTATTCCCATGCTCTGATGTCGTTCTCCCAATAGACAAATGGCTTTATGCACTTTGAAACACCCACGATATAGCATGGATCCATTCAAAACATTCAAAAAACAAGTCTAGGGTAGATGGGCAAAGACAGATTATGTCTGACAACAGGGAGAGGCTAAAAAGTAAAAGTATAAAACCAGTTCAAGTTTGCATTAGAAGAGTGAAGAAAAGCAGCTCTGTTCAAGTTTGGATCCAGCATCTCGTCGTCATTAAAGCAGAAATATCAATAACATTAAGAATAAATAACACGTTTACAAAAGTTTCATGAAAACACAAAATTCACATTAAATACGTGATTTGATTCACACATTCACAAATACAAAGAGGCGACTTAGTAAGGCTGGGTTTAGAAAGAGGAAGGAAATGCTTCTCAAAATGTCAAAGGGATAAAAGGAGTGTTGGAATCAGAAAATATTGAGAAACATTCAAAACACTGCTTTGTGGAAAAGAACGTTATGAAAAAAGGCTAATAAATCAGAATCAGAATCAGAATCATTTTTATTGCCACGTAAGTAACAGGAGGTCACAGACTAGGAAATTGCTTTGGCTCAGTGCAACAGTCAAAAAGAGATAATAAAAATAAGAATAAAAAACACTTCTAAAGAATAAATTTAAATTTAAAATAGAGATACAGTTACTATTTACAATATACAAGTGCACATGGTGCACACAATGTAAGGTGACAGCAGTACAGTGAAGTAAAGTGACGTATGATGGGCAGTAAAGTGACTTTATAAAGGGCGGGGGGACAGGTTAAGAAGTGTTCAAGAGTCCAACAGCAGAGGGGAAGAAACTGTTCTTGTGGCGGGAGGTTCTAGTCCTGATGGACCGCAGCCTCCTGCCTGAGGGGAGTGGTTGGAATAGTCCATGTGCAGGGTGAGAGGGGTCGGCTGTGATACGACCAGCCCGGCCTCGAGCTCGGGCGACGTACAGGTCCTGCAGCGATGGAAGGCTGCGGCCGATCACTTCCTCTGCAGAGCGCACAATGCGCTGTAGTCTCTGTTTGTCCCTGACTGTGGCTCCAGCGAACCACACGGTGATGGAGGAGGTGAGGATGGACTCGATGATGGCTGTGTAGAACTGCACCAACATCTGTGCAGGCAGCTTGGCTTTCCTGAGCTGCCGCAGGAAGTACATCCTCTGCTGGGCCTTCTTGATGAGGGAGCTGATGGTCGGCTCCCACTTGAGGTCCTGGGTGATGGTGGTGCCCAGGAAACGGAAGGACTCCACAGAGGTGATGGGGGAGTCCATCACGGAGGGTGGGGGCGGGGGGACAGTGCTCTTCCTGAAGTCCACAATCATCTCCACTGTCTTCTGGGCGTTCAGCTCCAGGTTGTTCCCACTGCACCAGGACACCAGCCGGTCCACCTCCCTCCTGTAGGCGGACTCATCGTTGTTGGAGATGAGTCCAATGAGGGTGGTGTCGTCCGCGAACTTGATCAGATTCACAGAGTCGTGGCTGGAGGTGCAGTGGTTGGTGTACAGGGAGAAGAGCAGGGGAGAAAGAACACAGCCCTGTGGGGCTCCTGTATTTATAATCCGAGAGTCCGAGACATTCTTCCCCAGACGCACTCGCTGCTTCCTGTCTGTCAGGAAGTCAGTGATCCACCTGCAGGTGGAATCGGGCACGTTGAGCTGGGAGAGCTTGTCCTGGAGCAGGGATGGCAGGATTGTGTTGAAGGCAGAGCTGAAGTCCACGAACAGGACCCTGGCGTAGGTCCCCGGGGAGTCCAGGTGCTGTAGGATGTGGTGGAGGGCCAGGTTAATGGCGTCGTCTACAGATCTGTTGGCTCTGTAGGCGAACTGCAGGGGGTCCAGGAGGGGGGAGGTGAGGGACTTGAGATGGGAGAGAACCAGGCGTTCAAATGACTTCATGACGACAGCCGTAAGTGCTACAGGTCTGTAGTCGTTGAGTCCTGTGATCCTGGGCTTCTTCGGGACGGGGACCATGATGGAGGATTTGAAGCAGGCCGGGACATGGCAGGACTGCAGAGAGGTGTTGAAAATGTCCGTGAACACAGGAGTAAGCTCACTGGCGCAGTGTCTCAGAGTGGCCGGAGACACGTGGTCCGGGCCAGGAGCTTTGCGGGGGTGCAGCCTCAGGAAGAGTTGTTTAATCTCTTTAGCGGCTATTGTTAGGCTGGGGGCAGGGCTGATGGGTGGGTCGTTAGAGTAGTGAGGGGTGGGGGAGGGAGAGGTGTCAGGGGCAGCATCAAAGCGACTGAAAAATAAGTTCAGATCGTCAGCTAGCTTGTGGTCGTCAGCACAGGGGGGGGCTTTGGGCTTGTAGTTGGTGATCTCCCGTAGGCCCCTCCAGACAGAAGCAGTATCGTTGTTACCAAACTGCTCCTGTAGTCGTTCTCTGTGCCGGGACTTGGCTGCTTTCAGTTCTCTCCTGAACTGATATTTAGCTGCTTTGTAGCCGCTGCGGTCCCCCTCCCTGAAAGCAGACTCCTTTGCTTTCCTGAGCTGCCGGAGTTTAGCAGTGAACCAGGGTTTGTCGTTGTTATAGATGACCCTGGTTCTTGTTGGAATGATGCTATCCTCACAGAAGTGAATGTATGACGTCACAGTGTCCGTGTATTCATCCAAACTATCTGTGGCAGCTCTGAAAAGGTCCCAGTCTGTAGATTCCATGCATGCGCGCAGCTCTTCCACAGCTTCATCAGACCACACTTTGGAGCTCCTCACTGCAGGTTTCGAGAGCTTTAGTCTCTGTCTGTAAGCAGGAACCAGATGTATCATGGAGTGATCTGAGAAGCCGAGGGCTGGCTTGGGAACAGCGCAAAAAGCTCCGCGCACGGTGGTGTAACAGTGATCCAGAGTGTTCTCCTCTCTGGTCGGGCATTTGATAAACTGTCTGTATTTGGGTAATTCCTGGCTCAAGTTTCCCTTATTAAAATCCCCCAGGATAATAATCAGAGAGTCCGGGTATAAACGTTCCATACACAGTACTTGCTCTGCGAGTGCGCGCTAAAGGTTAAAAAATGTTTTTCGATTGTATCAGAGAAATAATAAAACTGAGGGAGATATATGAAATGTATTTGGTCCAATATTCAGAACCAACTTCATAGCTGCATGTGCCTCTTACTAGTTTCCCAACAAATAAAGCGTCTAAATCCACCTGTGACCCGCGCCATCATGATTCCACACATGAATAGTGAACGTTGTGTCTTTTTAACACGGAGCAGACGGAGCAGCGAGCACATCCTGTCTGTGGGAGCAGGTGATGAAGAGGAGCCAGAGCATGTTTCAGAGACAGAGGAAACTGCAGCGGTGCACATCTGTCGGCCCCGTCCTGCTGAGTCTGCCGCGCTCTGAGCAGCGACATCAAGGGGTTAATCTATAATCGTCATTATTCAGGTCACAACAACAAAAGGGGTATTTATATTTCCTCCCAAATGTTTTTTCACAGTCACAGGACACATCTCGGCATGATTTTGATCTCAATTACATACATACAGACATTTCTAGGTACATTTGTTAGTCATGTTTATTCCAGGCTTGTACAATTGCCATATTTTAAAATAGTGTGAAACTAAAATAATTAAAAAATGCAATATAATATATACAGTAGAGCAGAAGTATAGATGGTAAAGTATTTCAGGCCAGTGCTTTCTCAGAGCATTTGTTTTGGATTGACACGATTTCAAAAGTCACTGATCTTCTTTAACCAAATAACTATGTCATGTTTTCCAATTCTATGTTACTATAATAATCTGAGGCAACAATAGTTCAGCCTCATCCCAAGTCTTTTCTCCAAATCCAAAATTAACATATTAGTGCACATATCAATGTTCCAGTATTTGAATCCATCACAGCACCTACAAGAAGTGTTAAAGAAGAAATATTGTTAATTCATTTTTGGCCATTAAAAAATATGATACTTTTAACTTTGTCATTTCATGTTTTAGAAAGTAAAATAATATCATAATAATATATAAGTAGAACAAATATGATGAATAGAGTATCCAGAATAAACAAGGTTATCCACCTGTAACTCCCTATGCTACCACCAGAGGGAGAAGATGAATTTGTTTTGTTTGTTTCTCAAATTTGAAAATTACCGGCTAAAAACGCTAACATGCAATTGTAAAGAACTTAATTTTACCTGAGAAAGTGCCTAAACTAATTTAAGTGCTGTACTTTTGTTTTAAAAAGGCAGAAAACTGAGCGTGGTGTTGCAGTGGAACAATGACATCCTACTATTACAGGAAGCAGGACCTTTTATTTGGAGAGTAGTTACGTGTTTGTGGCAGAGGTTCCTGACATTAGCATGGATGGATCTAAAAACAACTCCAGGTCTGTTTTTGATGAACACAAAAGCTAAAAAACAAACAAATTTGCATATCTCCCTTATGTTCAATTCAATTCATTTTTATTTTGTTAGCTCTAAATCACAACAGCAGTCGTCTCAGAGGACTTCACAAAGTTGTCAATTCCTCTAAAACAGATCAGAGAATCAAACCGTTCAAACACAGGAAACGCAATAATAACAAACCCTTGGAGCCATTGGTTCATAGGGAGCGGGATGAGCAATGTCTAGAAACGTTAACTCATTGATTCTCAAGACCCAGAGAATATTATTTCCTAAGACTATGTGAAATATGAAACCAGATTCTGAAAGACTGGATTGTCTACTTTGATCAGATAAAAATAAGTTTCTTTCTAGCTGTTTTTCAATACGTCAAGGGCAGTCAATAAGTAATAAATGTCCATACGTTTTGACACTGATGAGGACTATAGAGTGAAATGTGTGAGTACAAGTAAATATTTCCCTGACTAGTAACAACGGGATGGTTGGTACGGTTTTTATTTTTTAAAGGGACAGTGTACATTGCAAGAGGAGAGATGCATTGTACCAACAGTGCTAATTTACACCTGTAGTCTCTCCCGCGATTCGATTATTGATATGCATTTGCCAAGTATCGATATCGATGTAAAAAAATAAAAAAAATAGCATCAATACTTAATATATGGCTACAATAAGCATCTCCATTCCATTTATCATGAAATAAAGTGTATTTTTTCAATGAACATTATTTTATTATATATAATTATTTTATTTATGCCATAAATTGGAATAATTATGGTATATTTCTGACCAATATATCGATAATCGTCATATCGTGATATAATCGTTATCGTGATATTATTGTTATCGTGTATCGTATCGTATCGTATCGTGAGGTACCCTTAGGTTCCCACCCCTAGTCCCAGAGCAGGTAGTGGTAAAACAGAATTTAAAGTAGATGGATACATTACCACGCACACACACGAGGCGCCATTTCTTTGTGTGAAAACCTTTAGCTCAACAAACAAAACAAACTATCAAACGTGTATAGTTTGTTGTTGTTATATCATCTGTAACTGCACTGAATATAGTTTGGTTTCACAGCTACGCAGCAGGAAGTCCAAAAGTCCTTTGAAAAACCCACCATATTTCAATCATTTCCCTCACGGTGCGGTGTTATACAGTACATAGGAGCCATAACAAAGCCATAGACGTGTGTTTCCTGAAAGCTCCTCAATCCAAAACGCAATCCCGCAGCCACCTGAAAGTGTCTCTTTCTGCCGAGAGCGTGCACACTTTGTAATGCTAAAGACACGGGCTCAGAGGGCTCGCCGTGAGTGCCTTTCAATGACTGTAAGTGTATAAGAGCGTTTTCCTCCTCCGGCTCCTCTCTCGTTCTACTGTACGTACGTTCTCCCGCTGCCTTTCTCTCGGTGTGGATCAGGTGTCCGCTAATGCAGCCCACGCAGTATTTATGGAGCGAGACACTGGATACAACTGCAGCGGGTCGACATTAGCAGGCCATGTAAGAGTAGTAAGAGCACAGAGGGATGGGGTATTAATGGAGCATGGGATTATGGTGTGAAAATATGGAATACAAGGCCTGTGATGATTTATGAAGTATTGTTCTGTAGGATTGTGTTTGTCGCGACAGAAAGTTGTAACAGGCTGTTTTCATCTGATCACTAAACTTGTTAATTGTCTATATAGAAGTTTGAAATATTGTGTGTTTGTTTTTTGCTGTCTGTTTTTGTTTCATATGGACTCTTTGTGTGTGTAAATTAAAGATTAAATAATGATAATTTTGCATATGCCTTAGATAGAGCCCTGTGAGTCACAATTGGATGCTTTGGGCTGAGCGCTGATAGGCTGAGTGAGGGTGGACCTATTTTTATTTATTTTTTCTGCCTAAAAAAACTTGATCTAAAGTGTGTAAAACCAGAGACAGAACCAAACAGTTTTCAAAGCCAGAAACTGGTTACAAGGATGTTATGACACAGGGAATTTT